GCTGGGGGTGGGGGTTGGGGGGGGCACTTCTGGCTCCAGGGTAGAACCAGCTTCCTGCCTCCATTTCCAGACGTCAGAGGACTTACGGATCATCCTGCCCAGCCCCCTGTACCACTGCCTGGGTTCTGTGGGGGGCACGATGGTGAGCCTAATGTATGGTGCTACCCTCATCCTACCCTGTCCGACCTTTGATGGCAAGAAGGCGCTGGAGGCCATCAGCAAAGAGAGGTGGGCATCAGTGGGGAGCCCCCCAGGGGCCGATGAGACCCTCCGATTCCTCACTCCGGGGCTCTGATCCCTTTCTGAGATGTGTGCCCGCTTCAGCCCAGAGAAATGGAGACAGGGGTAGTGGGGGACTCCCAGGGGAGGACGAGTTCCTGCCTCCAAAGAGCTTCTCCTTCCTGTTTCCCACATATACAGCCTTGGCCCTTCCTGGGGGGGTTCAGGGTGGGGGGGGGTAAGAAGAGGGAGCTCCCTTCCACTTCCAAGCCTGATTCTGAGACTCCCCCCACCTTATACAGAGGCACCATCCTGTACGGCACCCCCACAATGTTCGTGGACATTCTGAACCAGCCAGACTTCTCCAGTTACGACATCTCGTCCATGTGTGGAGGTGGGGTAGGGCCAAGGGTAGCCGAGCCAGGATTGACCTGATGAGCTGGATATGCGCCCAATCTCTTATTTAGGAGGCAACAAGACATTGCAGAAAAGCGGGTGGGAGGGAGGCAAATCCCCAGCGTCCTTGGACACCAGCCCAAGGCCAAGTGCCAGGTGTAGGAACAAGTCCAGGGTCAAGGGCAAGAGGGGAATGTTCTGCTCTAGAAGGAGCCGTAGGTGAAGGGGGTCCACAGGGCCTGGAGAAGCAGGGGGCTGTGTCAGTCTTCTCTCTGATTCAGGTGTGATTGCTGGGTCCCCCGCACCCCCAGAGCTGATCCGAGCCATCATCGACAAGCTAAACATGAAGGAGCTGGTGGTGAGTGGCAGCTGGGCTGGGGCTGCGGGCAGGGGACACGCCAGGCCCGGGGTGGGAACAGACTGGTGTCTGTAGGGATGAGCTCGGGCCAGATCTCCAAGGAAGACCCTCTCGGTTGGCCCTCCTTCCAGAAAGCAGATGTGAGAAAGGGCAGTCTGACCTCATCAGCAGCTGGCGAGTCATAGAAACAGGTGACAGGGGAGTAAATATTACCCATACATAAATTTATATTTATGGAAATCTGGAAGAGAAGGGC